GTCTCCAATTCCTGGGCTCAAGTAATTCCAGCCGCCTGGGCCTCCCAGAGTGCTGGGGTTACCGGCGTGAACCACTGCACCTGGCCTTTCCCTTTCGCGGTGCCAACAGGGTTGGGGATGACTGCCCTAAACATTTATTTGGAAATACTTTTCATCAGGCCCTCTTCTTTGCAGAGTCATAGTGGCAGTTTCTATTTTACTTAGAAAATGACTCTGTATGCTCAGCTGCATCACAGATGAGACTTCCTTATCACCCTTGGGGCTGTGCTCCTCTGGTTGGGCAGAAAACAGCCCGGGCTCTCTGGGATGGAGACTCTGCAAATCTTACTTCTTCCCAGTGAAGATGTGACCTCCTTATCCCTCTGACTGGGGCAGTGACCTGTCAAACCAGCCAGTTTTGAGTGACACCCCTCATCCTCTCTGCACATCACATATGCTTGCAGAGAGGGAAACCCACCCATCTCAGATCCAGTGTTTTTTGTTTGTTTTGCTTGTTTGTTTTTTGAGACAGGATTTCACTCAGTTGCCCAGGCTAGAGTGCAATGGCGTTATCTTGGCTCACTGCAACTGCTGCCTCTTGGGCTCAAGCAATCCTTCCGTCTCAGCCTTCTGAGTAGCTGGGACTACAGGCACGCACTACTATGCCTAGCTAATTTTTGTACTTTTTATAAAGAAACTCCTGAACTCAAGTGACTCTCCTGCGTCAACCTCCTAAGTAGCTGGGTCTACAGGTGTTTGCCACTACACCTGGGTAATTTTTGTATTTTTTGTAGAGACGGAGTTTTTCCACGTCGGCCAGTCTGGTCTCAAACTCCTGGACTTAAGCGACCCACCACCTCAGCCTCCCACAGTTTTGGGATTACAAGTGTGACCCACCATATCTGGTGGTTTTAGTAGCACCTAGGTGATTGAAGGATGAGGGTGGGGGGCACACATCTGTGCTCAGCTGAGTTTCAACATCTGAGGATGTTTATGTTAGCAAATATTTTGAGTGTCTGTTACATTCTGTCGTGTCTAAGTATCTAGGGACCCAGCAAAGGACAAGAATTGGCCATATCTGAATCACTTATGACCTTGCAGGATTTCCCTCATGGTTTGAGTAGCTTTAACGAAGATGTGACACAAAAGTGTAGCAGGATTTAGGGAATCAATAAAGGTGATACACCCAGAGACCAGCAATGGTGGTGAGCCTCCGACACAGAAGTGTAGGTGATGTGGCAGTACATTCTGTCATAGCTTCCTGGGGGTACAGAGAGAGGAAGAGAAGGAGTGGGATGGGGCACAAACAATTACCCACTACATGATTCCCAGAATTCAGCATCCTGTGCACATGGGCCATGTCCTGAAGCTAGGTGGGGCTTTCTAAGGCCCTTAGGTCTTTGCTGGAGTAACCTGTTAGGCATAATGAAAAGAATGAGGTTTTAGATACGGATTTGGATTTGAATCCCCTTACAACTGTGAATCTTGGACAAGATACTTCTCCCTGCGCCTCAGATTGCTCTTCTGGAAAGAGCTATGTCCCAGGATTGCCTTGAGAATTAAATGAAAAACTGTGAATCACACCTAGCACACACTGCCTAGACCCTGACTGGCACTCAGTACGTGTCTTCTTGTTTGTGTTCCTGTGGGATTTTCCTTTTAAATTGCAATAAGATAAAAAATCTGTGTCATAGGAAGACCTCAAGCTGCCTGGTCCTCAGTAGAGCATTGTCAGTGTTAGGCTCCATTTCCAAGTATGTAGATTGTCATGCTTATTTGCAAGTAGGATTTGCTTTTATTAGATAATTTTCAAATAAAATGGCCAATCAGACCCAGCCCAGGAAATTTGTTAAATCTTTGTTACCTCAATGACTGTTCAGTTTTGAGATTTTCTGGGGTAAGTTGCAAGAGGTGTCACAGTGTATATCCAGGCCTGGCAGTCTTGGGGATCCCATCTGCCATTCAGGAAATCTGCAGAGCCTGCGAGTTTGGACATCCTGGTAGACAGTGCAAAGTGGGATCAGCCCAGTCCATCAAAAGAGGAATGTCTTCTGCCTTTGCTTCCCCTTTCCAAAATTCAGTGTTCTTGTGGCTCATTCATTAATTTCATGTCTCTGTCCCAACCAGATTCTCTCTAGTTCCTTTGTTGCTTTATGCTCAGAGATAATGCTGCTGATCATCTATTGTGGAGAGCACTTTCGAAATAAGCTGTAGTGAACTTGTCTTTTCTCTAGTGAATACAAAAGATATTCAGTTAATCGATTGCTTTTTTCTCTAGAAAAGTAACTTTCGAAAAACAATGGTTCTACCTGGATAATGTCATTGGCCATAGTTACGGAACCACATTTGAAGTGACTGGTGGAGGAAGTCTGCAGCCCAAGAAGAAGAGGGAAGAGCCTACTGCAGGTGCACATTTTGGATGCATGAAATAGATGTTCTCCAACTGACTAGT